TGACCAGCGCTGACTACAGGAAGCCCGAGGCAGAGTTGCTCTGCCCCGGGCTTCCTGGAATCAGCTGCTGATCAGTTTCAGCAGCAGCTGACTTGGGGACGCCTGGGGTTCTTAAGTTGAATCTGTATGTAAGTCAGAACTGGGCCTCAGAGCAAAGCCTCAGAAGCGCAGGAACCCGCCGCGGCTGCCGCTTCAGTCCCGGTGCCTGTGGTCTGCTGGGGACGGTCTCCAGCAGACCAGGGGCACCGGAGCAGCTTACGAACGGGGGTTTCTCGCCCCGGAGCTCGCAGGTAGCAATCTGCCACCTCGACCTCTGGGGCGAGAAAGCCCCGTTCGTAAGTGCGGATCCGACATAAGTCGGATCCGCGTAAGTCGGGGACTGCCTGTACTGAATATTCCACCAGTTATTTATGTGCCATCACAGGAGACCCTCACAATTCGCGGAATCGCTATTCGCTGTTCCATGTATTTGCAAGTCTCCTGTCCCAGCTGATTGAGTGAGAGAAATAGGAGAACACAGTCATGGCTGCCAGGAGCCATGGGGAATCGCCCTCTTCCCAGCTACTAGGAACTGTGGGGAATTGAGCAAGTATTCTTCAGTGTATAAAGTGATCTAAGCAGAATTACAGATGTTAGCGTAAAAGCACCATACTAATGAAAACTAACCACAAAGTTCTTTTGTATTGTTGTGGCTTAATTTATATCCACTGTGAGAGTTTCAGTAAACCATTCAAAGAAAATACGAGATGTTTAAAAACATGATGATACAAATAAATAAACTGTTCTACTAAATAACAATCTGCTCTTAATGTTTATGCTTGACTAGAATCATAGAACCATAGAGCTGGAAGAGACCTCAGAAGGTTATCAAGTCCAGCCCCCTGCTCTAGGCAGGACCAATCCCAACTAAATCAACCCTGCCAGAGCTTTGTCAAGCCGAGACTTAAACACCTCTAGGGATGGAGACTCCACTACTTCCCTAGGTAACCCATTCCAGTGCTTCACCACCCTCCTAGTGAAATAGTTTTTCCTAATACCCACCCTGGCCCTCT